TACTGTGTTGTAATGTTGGTCATTATGATAGTTGAGGTGGTAAACAATTTGAGAGCCATTGGTCAAATGTATACAGGACTGCTACATCCTGGACCATGGTGGGTCAAAAGTGTTTGTATGGAAGGGGAAGAAAGCGAATAAAGCCGAGAGGCAGATGGCCATAAGCAGATCTTTGGTGAGTGGCACGTTCAGCCATTTTGTTGTTGTTAGATACAATATGACGACATCCTCTTAACTATTCGACTGGTCTTTTTAGGAGTTCATCAAGGCAAAAAACTATCCCGGCACAACAAATGTGGAGGTGATAAATGACGGCGGCGAGTCGGCTCTCTTCAAGCAACTGTTCCAGACGTGGACAGTGAAGGACCAGACTCAAGGCCTGGGCAGAGTACACACAAAGGGGAAAGTTGGTATGTGACGTTGGCCGCGACATTACTCCATAAGTATAAGTATAAGAAGCCAATGACTGCGCAATTAGTGAATCTTTTTTTTTGTTGTCAGCTACTGTCAGACAGGAGAAATTTGATGTGTCTCTGATGCACGAGAGGCCAGAGATTGCTGCGCAAGAGAGGATGGTGGACGATGGCACAGGCCAAGTCGAGGTTCGTGGCCATGTGTGCAGTCTTAAAACATTCTATTTTTTTTTTTTAACTGATTGCCTTTAATTGACCATAAGGCAAAAAAAGAAAACATTGCTGGCAAGTTAGAAATGCTTCCAACTAGAAAATGTGCAATGGGACGTCCGAGCCTATGTTGGTTGAATGTCACCCCGCAATGGCCATGGCAACTGAAAATATGACGCCATCTAGAAACTATTTTTCTAGAAATTGGTGTAAAGATACTGTCGATAGATTTTATGTACTATATGGAAAAAACTTTTAACATTTATTTAAACAAAAAAATTGTTTTCATCACATTTCCCGTATACCATAGCTGTCGACATGTCAACTTTACGATACTGTATTTTATTTATTTATTTAAATGTTGACCTAAAAAAAATCTATTTGGGCTATTTCCTACTCCCCGGTTGCCTTGAAGACAGTAAGTACATTTTATTTATGTAGCACTACTCAGAGAGGAATCAAGTGCTTCACAAACATGTGGAGTTAATACAAAAAAAATACAATATGGCAATACACCTTTGAAGTATATCTGCCATCCATGCACACAAATCACCTTGCGATTTGTTTAAATAGCATCCACTATTCATAGCATTTTTCCTGCTATAATAGCATTGACATGAAGCTCAAAAGTGTATGACAGTCAATGATGAACAAAAATGACAGTTGAAGATAATCAAATGACTACAATTGCACTCAGGTTTGGAGAATTGAGAATCTGGAGCTGGTGCCAGTGGACCCTCAACGTCACGGCTACTTCTACGGAGGAGACTGTTACTTGATCCTTTATACTTACCTGGTGAAAAACAAGCAGAGCTACTTGCTCTACATATGGCAGGTGACGCTCCCAACGCTGATTTCTACTTTCCGCCTCATCTTTGGAGGCGGAACTAAGCTCAAATCAACGCGTACTATTTTAGGGCCGCCATGCCACACAGGATGAACTGGCAGCGTCTGCGCTCCACGCCATCGATATGGACCACATGTACGGCGGGGCGCCGGTTCAAGTGAGAGTGACCATGGGTAAAGAACCAAGACATTTTTTGGCCATTTTCAAAGGCAAAATGGTCATCTTTGAGGTATGAATGTGAATTGAATCCCAGTGGGCTTTTGTGTCTGCCCCATGTAATGTATGCAATCCCTCTTCTGTGTCAGGGTGGCTCCTCTAGAAAAGGAATTTCGGAGCCAGATCCATCAGTGCGACTGTTCCAGGTTCATGGTTATGAGCCCGCCAATACGAGAGCTATTGAGGTTCCAGCACTGGCTTCTTCTCTCAACTCCAACGACGTTTTTCTGCTTAAGAGTCAGAGTGGACTGTACCTGTGGTGTGGAAAGGTACAGAGCAAGGCCCTCTGATGTAAACAATGGTGGCATTAGAAAGCCAATGATGTCTGGTGGTTGTAGGGAGCAAGTGGAGATGAGAGGAACATGGCAAAGGAGATCAGCGCCGTGATTGGACACAACTTGGAAGGCATCCAGAGTCAGATTGTTGCAGAGGGACATGAGCCTTTCGAATTCTGGGAGACGCTGGGAGGACAGGTTCCCTATGCTGATGACAAGAGGTAAAGGTGGCTGACGGATAGTGTGTTAGGCGGGCGTGAGTTTTTGTCCTTTTCTGTGTGTGTTTGTGCGTGTGCGTGTGTCCATATCTCCCTTTGTCCAAACGTGTGTGTGTGTGTGTGTGTGTGTGTGTGTGTGTGTGTGTGTGCGTGCGTGCGTGCGTGCGTGTGTGTGTGTGTGTGTCCATAGGCTGCAGCAGACGGTTTTGGACCACGAGCCACGCCTTTTCGAATGCTCCAACAAGTCGGGACGTTTCAAAGTGACCGAGGTGACCCAGTTTACACAGGACGACCTCAATGAAGATGATGTCATGTTACTAGACACATGGGACCAGGTAGGGAAGGGGGAAGCATACCATATGCTAAACACGCTCCAGTATATTGTCTTAATATACAGCTTTATGATGAATCTGCCGCATTAGGTGTTTTTGTGGATTGGCAAAGAGGCCAACAGAGTAGAACGCAAAGAGGCAGTGGTGAGCAGCCAGGAGTACCTGCGCACACACCCGGGTGGTAGAGATCCGGACACCCCTATCATCCTGATCAAGCAAGGGTTCGAGCCGCCCACCTTCACTGGCTGGTTCACTGCTTGGGACCCTTACAAATGGAGTGTAAGCACATGTTTTCAATGAAACATGAATTGTCATTGAGTGGAAAAATGTCAACCTTTAAAAAAAAGTCCCAATACTCCCCATCTTGATTAGTGCTGCCCTCAAGGTATTAATTGACCTTTAAATCATAGTTTACATGCGGAGGTGTGTCTTCATACAAAATGGTTGACCAAACAGACACTATTACTAAACCAATCCGAGCACATCACGAGCTTTTTCAGAATTTTGTAGCACCTCGTATATCTTGCTTGGGTGTACCTAATGAAGTGGCTTGTTTGTTTTTGTCTGGCAGGACGGGAAGAGCTATGAGGAACTGAAGAAGGAGCTGGGAAACGCAATGAGCCCTGTTGATGTTCTCAATGTATGTACACTCACAAAAAGATGGTTTACGTGACACGTTAAAAAGCGGCTTTGTTTGACTGCTGTCATTTTCTAGGTTTACAGCAGTGTTGAAAATGATGCAAGCTTTCAGTGTTTTCCGGCTGAGGTTTTAGTCAAATCGCTGGTAAGCGAGCTGCCTAGAAACGTGGACCCCACCCAGAAAGAGGTGCTTCACTCCGTTTTATTTTATTCACAGATTGGCATGAAACGAACAAATCTACTGGCAAAAAGCCACAGAGTTTCCCAAAATGTTCCAAATGTATTTCGTTGATTGCTTTTCAGAGGTACCTCACCGACTCAGACTTCTGCCACATTTTCGGAATCACCAAAGACGAATTTGCAAACCTGCCAAAATGGAGACAACTCAACTTGAAAAAAGAAAAGGGGCTGTTTTGACAGAGAAAATAGAGCGAAATCTTCATCTCACTCCCCAACAACTCCAGCTACTGAGTGCATTGTAATAAAAAATAATTAGAAAAGTGACATATACACGTTTGTGGTTTCCACCAGTGGTTTGTTATTCCTAACATAATAAGCATAATGAGCGTTAATGATGATAGCAACATAACCTTACACTGAATGTCTGGCAGAGGCTAATCTGCTTCCATTCAAACGAAAATCTAGTTTGCCACCTGTTGGCCAATAATGATATAGCACAACCAGCTAAAACATTTGAATAAAGTTGGACACGTTGGTCACCTATAATTTGATATACTGTACAACCTAACATCAAAATGTAATATGAATATTTGGTTTTGTCATATGCAACAATGCAAGTAACCTTTTGGTTGTTTTTTTGTGTACTTTGGGGCCAATCAAAATAAATATGAAATAAATCAAAGCACACCAGTTTGATCAAGTCCTTTTATTCCAAATTTTCTAGTCAGTATCTACAAGTCTTTTGTACTCTTCCAGATAAACATTTACTTCATAGTTCAAAATGATTCGGATGCAACCATTTCACTAAGAATATATATTTTTGCATTTTTTCTGCGGAAAAAGCACATACCGGTAAATGATTTGAGAGAAAAGAAAAATAACATGTTTAAGGAAACAATTTGAAAATCTTTAAACAAGAGTATCCGGATCAGAGTTACTAATTACATGAACTTGATATCATGACATATCATGAAAATCTGTTTTAAGAGAAGTCACTGGAATTTTGTGTGGCCCATCAAGTAATGACAGCAATCACGTTGACCGGCTAAATGTATGAAATCGTTAGAAATGTTCACCTAAAGTGTAAAGATGAATCATGGTAGTTCATGTATGATAATGGTACATATAAAACCTGATTTGTGAAATTTTGTAAGGTTTCTAAGTGCAAAACAGTGTTTAAACTGGTATACAATGTATGTGCCCCGTGGAACTAAAAATGTGACGTAGATGTTCATGCAAACAGCTCCCATAGGATGTAAAAAAAAAAAAAAGTATACAGCAATCGGACATGAAAAATGCACTGTAAATGTGCAACAATGCAGCCTTCTCGTGCAGACAAAGGACTTCCTTTCCCTGGTTGGCATGTTACTGGTTCGAAATGGAATGTTTTTCAAAGCACAACCTTATGAAAAGTGCAAATGCAGCCAATTCCCCCCCTCAATCCTCAAAATAAACGATACAAAAGACATAGAATACGACTTGTCACTCAGTCAGGCAGTGAATAAATTGCGGTTCCCTTACAGTTACAAAATTTTTATAACGACTTTACAAAAAAACTGTCACCAAATACAAGAATCTCGGATTAAGTCTCCCAAAACGTTTTCTTGAACTGCAACCACAATGATTGGGACATAATGCAGACAAGTCGGTCTATAGGCCTCTAGTTCCACTCCAGGCAGCGGCTAACATTTCTTGAAAGAGTATCAAAAAGAAGACACGTCGAAAAGATAGTATTGGCAACAAAGAATCAGCTTGTGAGCCATCTTGAGACTGGCAGCTTTGAAAAACGATGTGCGGTTTCCAAATAAATTAAGACAGAATGCAGTTATCACCGGTTTGGGGCTCCTGGGAGTCGACGTCATCTTTACTTGCCGAGTCATGCGGCAACTCCAAAGGGTCGTCGTCCTGCTCAGGAGTCTCCGCAGACGCGTCCTCGTACGTGCTTGCGGTATCCGAGTCGCTCTTGTCCGGGGATGCGTCTCGTTGGCTTTCGTAAGGCCTCCGGTGCACCCCGTCCTCACGGAGCGGGTCAAGTGCGAGGGAGGGGGCGTTGTTGGCCACCCACTTCACTTTGGTCACGACGCCCCCGTCGTCTCCCTTCGTCGGGCGCACGTCCTCAGACGCAGCAATCGCTTCTCTGGAAAAATTAGATAGTGGGGCGTTCTTGGCGGGTTCGTTCATTTCACGTCCTCGTCTCGTTACGTCCACTTCACTTGTGTCCGCCGATACATGCAAACGGATATTTTTTTCCTGTGAAGAGAAAGTAAAACAACAACCGGTTACAGGCACTTAGAATTCACCTCGTAATGTTTTTCAGAGAATATTTTCTGTAATTGACGTCTCGGCGGATGGCGTGATGAACTGTACGCAATAAACAAATTTGTGCAGTGGCCTAAGTGGTAGCTCATTTTAGGACTTGTGTTTGGTGTTAACTTGTGAGATTTGTCTTATGTAAAATATGTAAAATATACATTAAGGTTCTTGCTAGGCTACGACCGATTAATCGGACGATCTTAGCTTTTAAAATATCGGCCAATTATTTATTTTGGACACATTAACACATGATAACATAAGACAACGATAACATTCAAATATAAACCCCTGGGAATTGTATTGTCAAACAGTTCAGTTTTCTCCCTATAATTCCTATTTTTTATTGTAAGCATTAAAGACCAAATGTTAGTTACATTTTTCATGATTTATCTTAAAAATTAAATCAGCCGATTAATCGGTGATCGGAATTTTACTCTGCCAAGTATCTGAATCAGCATCGGCCTAAAACAAAACTCCATGTTGGTTCGGACCTACCAAGAGCTTGTTTTGCCTCAGCACAAGAATCAAGGAGAGTACAAACATGATTGATTGAGCCTGCGCTTTCATATGTCACCTGTCATTCCAAATCTATTGGGTTCAGTATGGAAAGAATGCGCTGATTGCGCGTCGTCAGTCGGTTTGTGTTGAACAACCTTTGCATGTGTAAAGTTTCCTTTCAAATGTCACATGACCTCTTTTAATGTCTCCACTTCCTGTAATAGAGAGTGGACCAAACGCTCCAGCTTCCTCTTGGCCTCCTGCTCTCGCTCCAACTCCTGAAAGCAGAGAGAATTTTTTTTTTTTTTTTGCCACAAAGCCACATCATCACCAAACTACCATATGTTTGCACCTCGTACCACATTAGCCTGCCCAGCCTCCCTCTGGGTCTCGGCCAGCAGCTCCTCCACACCCTCCAGTGTGTCCTGCAGGACGTCCACCTGGAACAACAGAGCTTCGCGCTCCACCTCCAGCCCACGCAACTCGTGCACCGCCTCGTCGTAGCTGGCTTGCAGCTCCAGCTACACAGCAGACATGGTAACAAAATTAACGGTGGCTGAATTCACGCGGCAGCGTGTGGGTGTAGTTGTGCGCTTAACAAGCTCTCAAGAATAAGCCTCAGGAGAGACAGAACGGAAATGAGTGTAATGCTCGTGTCCAATTATATTTGCGACAAAGAAATAGTCACCATATCTGAGAGCCCTATTGAGAGGTCCTGGTCTGAATGCTGTAAGAAAAACATTTTAAGTAAATTAATATACGTTGTCATTAACCAGACAAACATCACAAAGGGCATCCAACAACAAAGCTTCCATAGCTACATTCAAGAGACCAGCTAAGGAGTTAACATGCACCAAGTGCATGAAAGGCAGTACCAATGTGCTCACACTAGTATTGGTATAACTAAAGCCTTCATTTAGTTTGTTTTAAAATTTGGTTTGTTTAAAATTCAGATTTTTGTATTTTTGTTTTTCTGTAACACAAAGTACAGAATTAACTGTTGACAAATTAGAGAATTGAAAAATAGGTTGACCTGTACTTTGACACAATATTAAACACACTTGCAAAAACAAATGAGTTCCAATAGAGGATAGAGGTGTAGCCTCCAAAAAATTCTGCCTTCTGTATTTTTTTTTTCAATTGATGATGTCAGACAGTGCAGCTCTTGTATGAAACTTTATTCGACAATAGTGATTCCAAAGGGTGTGTCAAGGGAAATTATCAATGATTCAAAACATTTGTATTTATTCACTAAAAATATTGTATCTTTGGAAATGGCTAACAGGGTATAAACAAGGCGTGTCGAAAACGTTTCAGAACTGGTGTCACAAAAGATATATGAATGCCCTGTCAAATACAAACAAAACAATAATTAAAAAATCTGTTTTAAAATATAAAATGAAATGCCCGTTCTGAACTGGGGCTACACAGATTTCTGTTGGGGCTGTAGCCTCTCCTAGCCACGGAGTAACGCCATCCCTGATTCCCAGCCTTTTCTGCCATGCATTCAGTACTCCTGTAAGGATTATTCTGGCATCCTCCGCATTTCCGCATCGAGCCATGTCGACCAAATAGGAAGGTTGGTCCAGCATAGCAATGCTCTTTCAGCCAGGAACTGTCAGATGCTTAAAGTACTGTGAGCAGGTGCGTGCGATTTGTCCAGACGCAACTCTGGCCTCTTCTCGCAAAATGACGAACGCAAACATTGCAGGATCTTTTATAAATATGAGGATTGATCATCTGACTCACACGAAAGGTGAAAACGCATAGTTTGAATATGTATTTATCATTTTGTGATGAAAGTCCGTGAATCCTCGTACAAAGATAAACTCCAGATGAGTGACGCTTCTTTTTTTCGTGCTAGAGACATTCATGTTGGTCTCCCTACCTGGCTGTCAGGCCTTCTCTTCAAGGTCCCTGGTCGACTGTCGCTTCGTGTCAGACGCCTGGATGAGCTCTCAGCCTGGTGAGCACGCACACGCACGCACATGCACACGCGCACGCGCACGCACGCACGCACACACACAGCACATGCACACGCGCACGCACGCACGCACACACACACACACACACACACACACACACACACACACACACACACACACACACACACAACACGTAGCATTTCAGCATTAGTCAACACAGCAGCACATTTAGCTGGTATGAGGAAGTAGGTTGAAACCGATCTGTTCTCGCTCAAAGAAGCCGTCATTTAGAGCTGAAAAAAATAAATAACGCCCAAATTCTCGCTAAATTCTCGCTTGACTACATCATGTGAAGTTGAAGTATTGAAAGAAACCAAACGCCCCATTCGAGTTGTATACTTAGATAAATATATATATTTTTTAAAAGACGCTGACTGGTTCTCTCCGCTCACCTCCTTTATGATGCTACGGAGTGATTCATCCTCGGTACGTGATAAAGTCCGCTTCTTTGGAGACCCGCTGTTGTCCAGAGTGACTGAAAGCATTTTTTTGATACTGTTTTATACAAGTGGTGTTTATGTAAGACAAGCTCCTCCGAGTTTAAGCCGTTCTTGATTCTCCTACGCAACAGTAACAGACACTCAGCAGGGCTGCTAAAGTAACAGTACAACGACAAAGCCCAGCCCAGTTGAGTACGGAGAGCCACCAGGGACAAAGTGCCTCGAGGTGACGCCCACAAATCACAGGGATTTTCACGTTTAAAATTATATTTTCTAATATATGATTAAAGTTACGTTAAATTGCGCCTTTGTGAAGTATCCTGTAACTGAAATTATTGCACTAAATACCCAGCATTGAAATAGGGCGCAGGGTCACCTGGGCCCTACTGACACAACAATTTTCACACGTTTTACATTGGCCGCCTTCATTGACCCAAGACACATATATTACTTTCGAAAAATATCACAGCCCCACCCCCCCCCCAAAAAAAATCACAATCATCCATCCTTCCATCCATTTTCTGATCCGCTTTATCCTCACAAGGGTCACGGGCGTGCTGGAGCCTACCCCAGCCGTCTTCGGGTAGTAAGCAGGGTACACCCTGAACTGGTTGCCAGCCAATCACAGGGCACACAGAGACAAACAACCATACACGCTCACACTCACACCTAGGAACAATTTTGAGTGTTCAATCTGCCTGCCATGCATGTTCTTGGAATGTGGGAGGAAACCGGAGTACCCGGAGAAAACCCACACAAGGCAGGGAAGAACATGCTAACTCCTCACAGGAAGGCCGGAGCTGGAATCGAACCCTGCACCTCTGTACTGTGAGGCAGACGTGCTAACCAGTCGACCACCGTGCTGCCTATTACTTTTAATAACACATTAATATTATATGGATTGTTATGACCTATTCTGATAGAGTAGCCCATTATAAAAGTGGGTGTGGCACACAAACAAACACATCACTGCTCATGAAGACATAGCATCCTTGGAGAATATTCAAATAAAATAATATAAAGTAGATGTCAACTGAATGTTCATTTTCCACCTTATTTATTGTTCATTTCATTTTTAATGAGCCATAAATCCGTAGTAACATATGCGTTTTACTTAGTTGCTTTTCTGCACTGCTGCTTGCAGTCTGGCATCTCGTTTGGAAGCATGTTCTTTCTGCCTGATGCCTACAGTCGGTGCACACCTACACATAGTGACTTCACTATGATGGTTTCATCATTGTTATTCATATTTGTGAATCTGTTGAGTCACATACCAGATTTCTGCAAGTGCCTTAATATTCGTGCATAAAAGCAATCGAATGCCCTGTCAAACCATAAATTGTATGAAATGAACGATTCGACACGAGTTTACGTTTCTTTCTTTTCCCCACCAGATGTCACTGGTGAGTCAATGACGCCGCCTGCACTGAGGGCGAAACCCATAAGCTTGCTTGTTCCTGTACATTGGCAGCATCTTCCACATACACAGCAACTTTTAGTATACGCTCAAGAACAGTGATAATTTCAAAAAACAGTCCTGAAATGTGATGCACATATTGGGCTCTTGTGTTTAATTATCCCAGGTTCACAAGGCTTAATGAGAAAGCAAATAAGTACGATAAATAACCCTTGGAGGCATTTGAAATGTTTAGTACAGCATTTAGACGAAAGATATATTCACAAAGAACGTTTTTTTTTCCCTCTCCCGGGACTAAAGGGGGCTTGACCGATGTATAGGTGGCTGAGAAAATAATTTGTAAATATATTTTATCAAATCAATATTCATATCAAATTAAAAGCTAGAGGGGCTAAACTAGAGCTACATTTCTGACGGGGCTATAGTTCCACCTAGCCTCGGTGTAGCCATGATATTAACATATCAACGGTTGGATTTATGTATTTCTTTATTTAGTTATTTATTCAATTTTTAAAATTGTGAGTGAACACTTTTTTTAACCGAGTCAGCACTGACAAGTGAATGTGATCATTTGCTGATGCTGAAGAGAGGTAAAACTTGAGACGTGTTGAAAAATTTGCATTCACTGATTTGGTTATTTGCTCTGAGGTACTCGGAGAGATTCTACAAACATGTGATAAAACATTTAAAGAGTATATTATTTTCAACAAATGTGTCATACACTGTTCATGGTTATATCCAAATAATAACTCTGTCTAATAAGAGACCTTGCACCCTCCCTTCGCTCTGTCCCTCTTGACTTGGTGACAGACCTAAAAGCCTTTTGTTGCCATCTTAGCCAATGGAGACGGATGACGACAGCGGGCAGCTGAGATATATAAAGAGCACCCTTTTTGACCGCTCTTGCACATTTTCCAGTGACACTTCTGCACACTTACACACTTCCGTGGACTGAAACGAGTACAGACGACGCCAAAAGCAACCACCATACCACACGTCATCGGGCTTTACGTTCATCAGATAGACATTTTGTCAACTTGCAATAAAGACACATTGGAACGCACTTCTTGGCAACTTCTTGGTGTTGGATTAGATGCCACTCTGGTAGGATAAGGACAGGAGCGACGCACAGCCAAGAGAGTGGATTTAACTGGTAACGTGAGTTAAACAACAAAAGGAAACAAGAAAAAAAAGTTGCATTGCCTGGTGTCCGGGCATCGTCATGTCGAGGTATAACTTCTTATTGTGCTTGATGGTGCTCATTTCCCTGGGACAGTCGGGGAGCGATGAGCCCAATCTGCTGCTGCCTCCCGCCAGCGAGACGCCCACGGATGCCGGCCTGTCGCCCCTGGACGAGGACGCCGGTTCCCACGAGTGCTCCGCCTGCGTTTGGAGGGAACAAAGCAAAGTGCTGAGGCTGGAGACCATCAAGTCGCAGATCTTGAGCAAGCTGCGTCTGAAGCAGGCGCCCAACATCAGCCGGGAGGTGGTCAACCAACTGCTGCCTAAGGCGCCCCCGCTCCAGCAGCTCCTGGACCATCACGACTTTCAGGGAGACGCGTCCTCCCAGGATGAGTTTATGGAGGAGGATGAGTACCACGCCACCACGGAGTCCGTCATCACCATGGCTTCTGAGCGTGAGTAATACTATGCTTCACCGCTTCCGACACGCGCGCGGTGCGTAATTACGCAAACGAGCTGACTTTTAGCACTTGAGTTTTTTGTGCCTTATTGGAGTCGGACAACCGAGTGACACGTGTTTGTTTATTTATTTATTGGCGCATTCAAATACACCTCGGTTAATTGGCTCAATCAGCTGTTGGTGGCAGCTGTCAAAAAGGGATTAGGGGTGAAGCTGATAAATCAATATTCAGCCAGCCTGATGACGCTTGTCACTGTGAAGCAGAAGGTAGCTTCAACATGGCCTGACGGACTTTTTGTTTCCACGGTGCAAACAATCACTCTGCTAATAATGATGATGTGATGATGGCTTTGATGATGATGGTCCACCTGGTTCGTGTGCGTGTGCGCGTGTGTGTGTGTGTGTGTGTGGGTGGGTGTGTGTGTGTGGGGGTGTGTGTGTGTGTGTGTGTGTGGGTGTGTGGGTGGGTGGGTGTGTGTGTGTGTGTGTGTGTGTGTGTGTGTGTGTGTGTGTG